TCATTACAAACATGCACTATTTTAAAAACGTTCGTAAAACTCATTCTTGATCACTTTTGATGTGACTAAACAGATCTTTCATTCCTGGTTGCTTTGTGCATGTCCCGTCTTGTGGAAATGATTATGCACATTACTACAGAGACATATTAACACATTGCTGTCGATCAATTTGGAGGCGGGGAAACTGCACTCCTGTCATGTTCCGGTGGACCTCAAAATGTGAGGGATTTGAATCCTGCTTTAACATCAGGAAATCTAAAAAAAGAGACTTATTGTGTTTACAGTATATCACCCCAATATGACTGTGGACACACTATATCTACACACAGTTCTGTCCAAACAGCTTGCAAAAGATGATTTTCATCATAGGTTTAAGTATATTTTGAATCACTATGTTTTAGTTGATTATTTATTATCTAAAATATTTTTTATTAATATGATAATTTATTTAAAAAAACATTCCATTCAATTCTGACTACATGAAGCTTCTCATCATGGCAAAAGCAATGTTTTTGAATACAAGAAGACCAGCCCTGTCACTTTTTTTTTCTTTCGTCCTCCATTTTTGACAACCTCCATTCTTCATGAATCCTCCGTGAGCACAATTTGCACTGATATCAATCTTCAGACGAACACCTGACAGCCATTTTAAACAAACACGCTATCTGAAGCTCTGTAAACACAGTTTTATCTGTAATTCAACAGAGCATCTAAATCTTTAAGGTGAAAGTTTTCTTTAGACCTTCCAGTGAACTTAAAATATATAGTGCAAAAAATGTAGCCAGGGAAAAAAGTAAGCTCATTTATAAAAGGAAAAAAGTTCCTTCTTATACAGTACATGCATCACTGGGCTGAGAAGTCACTGCGTACTTGAGATACTCCTGTGTAAATAACTCTCTATAATGCCATATTTTACAGCACGCTGCCTTTCACGTCTACATTTTTCTTTAAAAGTTATTTAAGCAAATATTTTTTGTAATGTCACATATAAAATGTGTCTCTAGACTGGCAGGCATTGCTGAGAGAAGTGTCCAGAAAAAAGTAGATCTGTCTGTGATATCTCTAGGCTAATATTTTAATGAATTTTTTAAGGGTCTTCAGCATCATGGTAAATTGGCTATATTTATTTATACACCTTGTGAAATTAAGAGCAGAAATCTTTATAGCAACAACAACAACAATGTAGCACATTGTTTAATTGACCATATGCAAAACATTTTTAAGCCAGCTGGAAAACTTCTTGTGAACAGTTGTTGTGTGAAATTGTTTGTTGGTAATGACATTAAAATTGTGGTCGAGTGACAGCTTCTGCTTATTAAGTAGTCGGAGAACAAAATAATGCCTCCTGCTGTAGATAATGAACATTCAATCAATTCTAAACTCTTCAAATTGATTTTACTACACATTAGTTTGATTTATTAGCACATGATGCTTAAAAAGTTCATATGTCATTCTAGAAAGAAACCTTCTAGAAAGGTACTTTAGAAAGGTGCTGTGTAAGTTTTTGAATCTACTAAAGCATAAACATACCATAATATGTTTGCAGATATTTAAGAAACATGCTAAGTGAGCATTCATGTTTATCTGAAAAACAATGCTATGTTTATTCTTCTTTGAAAATGTGTAACGTGCCGGAATGTCTGTGTTTGTTTTAGTCCCTTTAACCTGCCCAATGACAGTTTAGCCAATTGTATTTCAGCACCTCGGTTTGCCTTGATGAAAAACAGTATATTTCATTCATTTAGTCAGGACCGAAATGCAACCTACGGCGAACAGTAGCAGATCCAAAATAGACACAGATTCAGAGTTCACATAAGGTGATTATTAATTATCAAATAATATGGATATTTTGAACATAAACATTAGGTGAGCAGGTTACATTGTAACCCCGTGTCCTAACAACATGCTGCATGATACATTCAGAAGCACAGAATAGTGCACTTATTGCACTTCAATGAAATGGTAAGGTTTATAATGTAGTTAATACATATTAAACCTCTCTAAAATTAATAAATGTACATGCTGAATCGCTGATACAGTATGTGTTGGTTTTGAGTCACAGTTTTAAAGCTCAATTTCAAATGGTTTATTTTATTTTCAAGATCAGAGGTGAAGTATCTGCTGCTGCTTTCAGTAGTATAGCAATAAATGTCATGTAAAATGACATTCACACTCAAAATATTGCCGTTTAACACTGAATAAAACACATGAGGTGTACCTGAGGTGATCATTGACAGTTTATGTTCAGCTGCATAAAAAAATAGAAGCTGTTTCTAAAATATAAATTCCAGATGTTGGTTAGAACAAAAACTTATTTTAATATGGAAAGTATTCCTTCTATCCAGTGCCAATACTTTTATTTAGAACATGACTTAAATCAGCCTTTAGGGCCCTATCATACATCTGGTGCAATAAGGCACAAGACATGTTTGCTGTCACGTGTTGCTCTTTTCAGACCAGCGCAACAGTAATTTTGTTGTTTTGCGCCACGTTGTTTAAATAGCAAATCCATTTGCGCCACTTTGTAGACTCATGGGTGTTTCGGTCTAAAAAAGAGGTGTGTTAAGGCGATTTGTTGGTGCATTGCTATTTAGAGGAACTGTGCAATAGATCAACTGAAAGCAGGTCTGAAATCCAGCGCAGAGCGTATTAGTTGTCACAGAGACAAACTCTGTGATTCCCTCTTTTAACCAGCAGAGGGCACTAAACAGGCAAGGTCACAACAGGAAAATCAAAGTAGTGTATAAACGCTCAGAAATGTCAACTAGTAGCAAACAAGACTTCGCAAAGAATGAAACAAACCAATCTGCTTAAATAGATGGCGGAGTGATTTCAGCTGGGCCCGTAATCAAACAGACGCGGGGTAGATGGGAAATGTAGTGAGGGAACTGTCAGTTAATAATGAGTTAGTAAATTCACGTTCACTGTCAGTTCTTAAGTTTTAATAGTTCTAAACTTCACACTAGTAGAGGTCAATAATTGATTAGACATAAAAATATCAAACAATGGAATGATTTGTCCTACACAGGAAAAACAAAACAAGCATAATTAAAAGATGCACTTCTTCTGCACTCAAAGGGTCACTTTGATGCTGTTTATACATTTGTATTTTGTAAAGTGTTTTTTCATGCATATTTTATTTGTTTGAATTTGTTCTAAAGTGTAATTCAGATTTAATGTTAAAAAAACACCACTACTTTGTGGTGACTGTAAATAAAAATGTAATTACTGTAAACCTGATTCATGTTTATATTCATTAAAATAAACAATTGAAGTCAGAATTATAAGCCCCCCTGTAAATTTTTTCCCCCAATTTCTGTTTAACGGAGAAAAGATTTTTTCAGCACATTTCTAAACATAATAATTTTAGTAACTAATTTCTAATAAGTGGTTTATTTTATAATGACATTAAATAATATTTTACTTGATATTTTTCAAGACACTTCTTTACAGAATAAAGTGACATTTAAAGGCTTAACTAGGTTAATTAGGTTAACTAGGCAGGTTAGGGTAATTAGGCAAGTTATTGTATAATGATGGTTTGTTCAGGGAAAAAGAAAAAAAAAACTCAAAAAGGGGCAAATTTGTCACGGCCACATCCAGTTTTCACTGTCGAAATGAATGATCGCTGGTCGCTTTGGTGCTTTATGCCGCTTGTAGTGTGAATGGGGCATACGGGGTAATATCAATTTCATTCCTTTAAGTCAATGTTAGAAGAACTGAGCTTGACAGTTCTTTTGTTGTTTAATTATATGAAATCTAAATCACATTGTGCTGAACAGAATTAAATCCAAGATGAATTTTATCAACAGCTGCTTCATGGGTATTTTTTATGTACCGTATCACTGGCTATGCATCGATATACATATTGCATCTGGCTTAGTTCTGTGATTTATTCATTAATTTTCTTTTCGGCTTAGTCTCTTCAATAATCAAGGGTCGCCACAGCAGAATGAATCGCCAACTTATCCAGCATATGTTTTATGCAGCGGATGCCCTTCCAGCTGCAACCCATCACTGAGAACCACCCACAAACTCTCATTCACACCCTACAGACAATTTAGCTTACCCAATTCAACTATAGCACATGTCTTTTGAACATGGAAACCCACGCCAACACAGAGAGAACATGCAAGCTCCACACAAAAATGCCAAGTGACCCAGCCAAGGCTCGAACCAGCAACTTTCTTGCTGTGAGGCGACAGCACTATCCACTGTGCCACTGCGCCGCCTCAGTTCTGATATGCACATTCTTAAATAAAGACAAAATACATGTCAGTAGATTTTACAGGCAAGGCAAGTGGTTTGTTCGTAAGCTACAGTAGCTAACACTACAAGCAACACACATTGACAAAGTAAGGAGATTGTTCATTTAAACTGAAAGCAACCTCCAGCTACACAAGTGACAGCAACTATTGGCGACCAAATGTGGGCATGTCGAGTGATGTGACAAAGTTTAAAGTCCTTCAACTTTATGCAAATGAAGAGTGCTTTCTCTTAGCTCCTGCAGCAGCTTAAATTACTTATAGAGTGTATTAGGCATGGGACAATAACCGATGTCAAGGTATACTGCGGTTTGGAATAGTCAAGGTTTTAAAACCGGCAAAATTTTCTGCTATACCGTTCCTAAGGTATGTGTAAGATTTTTTTATTTACATTTTTTTTTTTTTTAGGACAATAGTATCTCCAGCAGAAAAGATATCCGAAGACGCTGTTTTAAATTGTAAAGAAAACTATTTTAAACTAATAAAGACAGCAAAAGGTAACGATTCATTTGAATTGTTTAGCCTGACATGTTTACTGTTCCAAAATATTATAAATGTTTCTCAAAATAAAATATATTGTGTTCAAAAGGGAAAAAAGTTTTTCATTTTTACCTAGACATTTAAAAAGAATAAATTTTAGAGCAGTAACCACAACACTGTGATATTTTTATCCAAGGTTACAATACTGTCAGAATCTTATATCGGCCCATGTCTAGTGTGTATGACTACGCTTACCTGAGAACCGCATGGAACCTCCTCTGGTGAAGTGAGGGGGAACCTGGAAGGCGTAGATGACATCACTCTCTGATATACTGGTCATGTCATCTTCATCAGAGAAAGAGCGCTGGAACCCACCCGAGTTCATCTCTGTCAAAATTACCTAAGAGAGAAAGAGAAACGATGATCTGAGAGTTAAACAGCCTTGCACACTATGCCGCAAATGATTCTAATAAATAACAACTTGCGTCCTTGTAAACAAAGATTTCAGGTTGCCTCCAGTGGTTTTCCAGAAGCTGTTGTCACATCACAGCTAACAGATAAAAGAATTTCAACTCAAATGCTCAGCACGACAAACTGCTTAGACTCAGCGGTAGGTCAGTTACTATTGCTTGTTTGCTTTTTTCTGTTTCACTCAAAGTCTAACAATCTTTCACACCTCTGTCTTGTTCTCCAACACACACACACACACAGGCATGTGTAGGCATTGAATAGGGTAGAATAAATTACAAACTGTATACATTAAAAATAGTAGAACACATTATACCTCTCAATTGGGTTGAACACTGCACACTTTCTGTAGTATTTATTGAGGTAACAGTACAATTATTATGACTTTGCAATTTAAAATCAAGCCATACTCATTCTCACACATACGTCACAGTATCACCTTCCACCACAAGGGGGAGAAACCATCTACCGTAGAACATCAGTGTTACATGCTTAATAAAAACATTCAAGGTAATTTCTACATGTACCTGTGGATTATAAGTCCATATAATACCAGTGTTGCCTGCTGTGCTATGCTGATGTTTCTGCCCTCTAACATTTTTGGGGAGGTTTTGAAACGGACATAATTGTCTGGAAGCCACGCCACAGTAACTGACACAGCTGTATGTTTAAAGATGAACATATAAGAGCTTACAAAATAAGGTCTACATTAAAACTAAATACTTATTGGTTACACTTTATATTGTTGATTACAAGATGCATTACAACTGGATGCCATCTGATTCATATAGAACTTTGGTATATTGTAAGTTTGGGATTAGGGTTACTGTAAACTGATTTGTACTTGTTTCTCATTGTCAGGTAAATGATCATTGGTGGAGCAGTGTCGATGGCTATTATTGCTAATAATCTAAATACTGCTAATTAAGATTTAGTTTCAATGAGTGTTAACCCTTTAACTGCCTGCTCTACCAAATAGTTGACCATATTTTCACTTTTAAAGAATAACACTTTAGTTAAGGTCACAAGTCATGCTATTAACTAGTGGCTTATTACCTTCCTATTATTAGGATATTAACCGTTCAGTTATAAAGTATGATCTTATTCTACATCCCTAATCCTACCCAAAACCTAAACATAACTTTAACCTTACTAACTATTAATAAGCAGCTAATTAGTAGTTCATTAAGCTAGTAGTGTTATGGTTTGTAAAACCATGAATTGTGACCTAAACTAAAGTGTTACAGAGAATGACAGTTTAAAATAATGGTTTAAGCTACGCAGCATTGTTTATTTACAAAAAAAATCAAGCAGACATAATCCTGTTTCCCTATAATTGATTTTGGCTTTACTGTAAAATTGTTTTTTAAATGAGAATCTAAAATAGTTTATGGCATTAAGAAATAAAGATGATTTAGTATTTAAAAATATTTTATTTAGATTTTTTTTTTTACATCAATTGGTCTTACACTTCCTATTTTTAGATTTTTCATAGTATATGTATTAATTATGGTAATTTTACCATAAACCGATATATCAACCATTATATATTTTAGAAATCATGGGATGTGTTGAAAAAAATGCTTTAACTAGTGTGTTTTAACTAGTGACATCAGCAATTAAGAAATTAAGTCAAATTTTTTTATTTTCTTTGGATGGGGCAGCTAAAGGGTTAACAAAGTCAACAAAGTGATGCCCTCATTTTATTCATAATGTAATATCTGATCACAAATCACAAGGGGAATAGTTTTAGTAGTGAGGTGGATAAACAAAAACAACATGACTTTAAGATTTTTTAGAATTTTGGTATTGTGGATGTGGTATGATTGTTATTTTATTTGTTGAGTAATACACAAAAATAAAAAAAACATTAAAGGTGACCTTTTATGCCTCTTTTTACAAGAAGTAAAAATAAGTCTCTGATGTCCCTATAGTGTATGTAAAGTATAAGCTCAAAATATCTCACACATATTACTTTCTAACTCTTTAAAACTGTCCCTTTTATCCTTTGATAGGAAATGAGCCTCCTGTAAGAGTAAAGGAGCAATTAATTGAAACAATCAGTCATGAGTCTCATCCATTTAGATCGCAAAGTGCAGGATGCACAGATTAAAAAATGTGTCCAGTCATATCACTAAGCTATTTCTGAGATTTCTCTTAAATGAAAAAATATATAATAAAATTGATAAAACTTTTTTGTTTACACTGAGGTTAAAACAATTTTGTGCCTGTGTTTTTATGTATGTTTAAGCTTCAACTATGAAAACATCTCTGAATCAATGCACTCTGCAGTGCCTTTAAAATAAGAATAATAATGCAATAGTAGTAATAAAATATGAGCATTGACATTTTTGATGACCTGCCATTTAAAAATAGTAAAATCATTAATTGTGTCCCAGAATGAACTTAGTTTGGTAACACTTTATTTTGATGGTCCATTTGAATATTAGTAGACGGTCTGCTTAACATCTGTCGATATGCTCCTTAAACAGACATTTAACTGACTATAGGAAATTACATGTCATCTTACACTAACCTTAACCCTTAACCCAACCCTAACCCAACAGTCTACTTATAATCTAATGAGAATTAATTGGCATGTAGATGCAATGTAACTTAAATTCAACAATCGGACCATCAAAATAAAGTTTGACATTAAGTTTACATTAACCAGGAGAAAGAAGTGTTTAGGAAGTTTAACGGACAATTTCATACCATTTTAGTTTTACTCTTCATAGGCCTGAAAAATATTTGCTAGGATAACTCTTCCTTTAAAGACTACATAAGTTACTGCATGTCTGAAGTACAATACAGCATTTTATTAGGAACAAATGGCTCAAGTGTGTATTGCACACAGTGTCGTTCAGGAATACAAAAACACAAGAGGAGGGAGAGACAAAACATCAGCAGATATGACAGACAGTGTCCTCACCTGGTCTGGAGAGAGCTTGCCCTCCTCTGCTACCATGGCCCTGAGGGTTGAAATAGACCCAAAGAGAGGCACAGCCAGCCCTATTCTCAGAAACCGCTGACCTTCTGTGCTGAACACCAGAGTCACATTCAGGGCCCTAAACAACATGCATATTTAGTAAATTTTTTTAAAGTCATGAGGCCAGTTTATAGTTCTATTTAGTTGTTACACTAACTTAAGATTTCAGAATGCATACATCTGCAGAAATTTGTTTGAGTATTGGTGTTTCAGTTTGCTATGCAAGTGTACAAACACAGAGGTGTTTAAACCATGTGGCACTGCTTTATGTGATACATTACTCAGGAAAATACTGTGCATCAATACACTGGAATGTTGCGCCCAGGGTCTAAAATGAACACTCATCAAGTGAGCAAATTGTCAGATAATCTTTTTATTTAATGAGTGAGAAGCAAATGAAAAGTTAATGATATTTTTTTTTCATTGTCTCCAAGCAGTTCTGTCAACAGTAGATGCTGCACCACACTATACCATCACAGTTTACAAAAAATAAATCGATAAAAATGTGTCCCCTGCTGTACAGAGGTACTGTTTCAATCATTATTTCTGTGTACTGTTTACAAATCGTTACATACAGTTGAAGTCAGAAATATTAGCCCCCCTTTGATTTTTTTTTTCTTTTTTAAAATATTTTCCAAATGATGTTAAGCAGAGCAAGGACATTTGCACAGTCTGATAATATTTTTTTTCTTCTGGAGAAAGTCTTACTTGTTTTATTTTGGCTGGTATAAAAGCAGTTTTGAATTGTTTAAAACCATTTTAAGGAGAATTATTAGCCGCTTTAAGCATTTTTTTTTCAATAATCCACAGAACAAACCATCATTATACAATAACTCGCCTAATTACCCTAGCCTGCATAGTTAACCTAATTAACCTAGTTAATTAAGCTGTATAGAAGTGTGATAAAAAATAACTAGTCAAATAATATTTACTGTCATCATGGCAAAGATAAAATAAATCAGTTATTAGAAATGAGTTAAATAAAACTATTATGCTTAGAAATTTGTTGAAGAAGTCTTCTCTCCATTAAACAGAAATTGGGGAAAAAATAAACAGGGTTGCAAATAATTTAGGGGGGCTAATCTAATCTAACTCTGACTTCAACTGTGTGTATATATATATATATATATATATATATATATATATATGTGTGTGTGTGTGTGTGTGTGTGTGTGTGTGTGTGTGTGTGTGTGTGTGTGTGTGTGTGTGTGCGCGCACATAGTACACCCTCAACAAATAGATTTGCTACTAATCATCCGAATCCCAGCGTCAGCGCATTCAGAAATAACAGTTTGTTGACAAAAGCCATTAAATGCCACTTGCCTTTGACAGCAAAACCGCTAACTAATCAGATGGCGCGAATGGAATCATATGTGTTCAATGTAGCAGCAAGCTTATACGCCGGCTTTTTTTTTTTTTTAGGAGATTTTTATTCCGCTTTCGATTTCGATTTTAAAAGATGGAGTTTGATGAACTGGATGAGCCTGACTGACTGTCAGTGAAAGGCGAATGAAAATGTCCCTTACCTCAAAACTCATTATAAGAAAAAGAAAATACAACGTACTGTCAGAAGTGTAGCATGCATTTATAATGATTTTTTTTTCGCAGCAACGCTACTTTAAATCCGTCCGATTTACTATACATTAAACGGCAACTGCGTTTCACAAAAGACAGAGTTAAGATGTCGTTCTTATAAACGAGATAAACAAGAGACCAATACCTTAAGTATGGTAAAAATGAATAAATGACAGCTTCTGAAATTTTCTGAGAGGCATCCTCTTTTTGCCCAGTAGGCTCACCTTGTGTTACATTTACATTTGCTAATGTAAGCTATTTTTTTGAAGATTAATATAATGTATAAAAATATACATTATTTATATTACTTCATATTACCTATACGTCTGATAAGCTTTTTATATCAATGGACAATGCACAGATATTGATGTTTCATAACTACAATACTCATGTTTTACACTACATTATTTGAATTTACCAAGCTTAGTTTACAATGTTTACATTGCTCTACTTACATTAAATCTAAATCTTATCAGAAATGACAACAGATTATTAAGATTTTATTAATTTCAGTTTTAATGTTATTGTTTATTGCATTTACTTGACAGATTTCATTAATTCATTTTCCTTCTGCTTTTCCTCTGGTTTATCAGGGGTTACGACAGCTAAATGAACTATATATATATATATATATATATATATATAATTGCATCCTTAGTGATTTTCAACTCTTTACACTGTCTTGTCTCAATAGGTGGATTTAAAGTTTTTTGCAAAACTGCTCTTAGAAAATCTTCCTTCTTACATACAAAAGAATTGTCTAAAATGACATTTTTGAAAAAAAAAGGTACTTTATTTACCAGCTAATAAACCCATCATTACCTATAAAATGAAACTTCTGAACCTAATTAGAGGAGCCTGGTAGAAAAAGCTCACTTACAAAAAAAAGAGGTTTGATGGATTTAGAGGGTTTTTGCATCTAAACTCTATGTAAGATTTACAATTTAATTAGAAGATATTTCTATTCATCCTCATGTCATTCCAAATAACTATGAATTCCCTTTTGCACGACATAACATAAGAGTCATTCGTTTGTTTGATTTTTTATGTGCCACAGAAGGAAGAAAGTATTACAGATTTGACACTGCTTGTAGTTTTACCTTTGTTCTTTTGGTCTTTTTTAACTCAAAAGGTTCCAAACCTTTATGAGTTTCTTTTTCTCTTGAACACATAACAAGATAGTTTTAATGCTGAATGACTGAATGACTTTTACAGGGAAGTCAATGTCTAGCAGTTTCCACTATTGCTCAAAGATTATTCTATTGTGTTCAACAGAAAAAAAACTCAAACATGTTTGGAACAGGAGTGTGATGTTTTTAAGCAAACTATCTAACCATGGTTAAAGCGACTGTAACAATCATTTATGTCTTATTGCTTTAAATTTTCAAAACTGCCCCTAAAACAGTGTGAGAGAGTGAATAACAAGTCAATTTGGCTACAGTAAGTGTACATATATCTGTGTGTTTGTACTCGTGTTGTGAAAGTTAATGTAAAGGTCTAAAACTCCTCCATATATACGAGAGTGCATATTACAGTCAAGAGCTGATCTGCTTTCTGCTGTATTTGTTTGGCTGAAAGCAGCCCCAACATGAGTCAGTTGCACAGCATCTGATGGTCTCAGTTCAGCTGTGTTTTTCAGCACAGATGCGGACATTATGGCTCTAAAGACTTAGGTGGACTTTTAGATGCTTCTCTCTGCTGCATTATTGAAAGCCATATGTGAAATGCTGAACCCAACAAAAGCACTCAGTTACACAAAACCACACTCTCACTCAAGTGGACCAGTGAGAAGATAACTGAAGCCTTAGATTGTATCTCTGGTGGCACGCACAGGCCAGGGCTTTATTTATGTTGTCTGACTATCAAACTAAGATTATTCTCTATCAAGAAGTGTTTAAGTAAATGTGTTACTTTCTGCAAAGACAAAGAAATTCTAACACCACCTCAAACAAAACTATTGTGGTCTCATTAAATGTACAAGATATTGCTTTCTAATCAGTGGTTTTGAAAGGAAAAGGAAATGAAAATTAAGAGGAAATGGAAAAGGACATGGAAAGGAAAGGAAATTAAATGAAAGGAAGCTATCCTGTAATCAAACAAACCCGATTGCCACTATCTGTTGTTTAAAGACAGTTGAATTAAAGTAATCCAGAAATGTACATGGTCTAAAATTAATTTAAATTAAATTGAGATTGTGAATAAAAAAAGCTGTGATTCTTTAATTTGTGTAACTGAGTGCCTTTGTTGGGTTCATCATTTTACATGTGGCTTTCAGTTAGAAGAACAAAATATTAGGAAGTTGTAAAAAAGGACAACTTTAAAAAGATTGTGTATGTTTGTATGTGATGTGAAATTATGGAACAGTCTAGAGCATATTCTCAAACAATGCAAGGATATTAATCAATTTAAATAGTTGTAAAATATATATTATTAAAGGAATGTAATGATGAAAGTTATTGAAAAAGGATAAAATGAGAAAGATATGATGAAATTTCAGTTAATGGGTATTTGCATTATTATGTATGTTTTTGGGTCTACGTTATAAAACGTAAATGTACAAATGGAATTAAATATTTAATATGTCAAAGATGCCAAAAGGATAAAATATGTCTCATGTAAAAAGAGAAGAAATACATTAAGTACTGTAATAGACGAATTATGCATGTGGTAATGGGGTGGGAAAATAATAGAATAATAATTGTGTTTCATCCTCGTGTGTTTCATTCATTTTCGACCATGTTGAAATGTACTTTTTGTTAAAGATATTTTATGTATGATATTTTTGTTCAAAACAAATAAAACCAAATCAAATTAAATTAAATCAATTATGCAGCAGAGAGACTGATCTAAAAGTCCATCTGATTTATACTTCTGCGTCGAGTGATTGGCGTGACCCACGGCGTCTTCCTTGCGCGTTGTCGTGCATTTATACTTCTGCTCTGCAATAACACTTCACTAGCTGGCAGAAGGTGTTTATTTTAATCTGCGTCGAGTTTCTTCGTTGGTGTTTTGTTTTTTCTAAACACTACTTTAATGTACAAGTAGCTAAAACTCATTCATTCAGAGGCGGGACTAGCAGTAACCGGTGGAGGTGCAACAACATTAATCTTAAGGTAAACACAAAATAAATGTTTCCATCTAGAGCTCCTTCACGGGACTCGACACTTGTAAACACTCGCTCCAACACTCACTCCAACAGGCGTGTGGCTCTCAGCACCGCCCACGCTTGTCACAGCTACCTAAGCCGATCAATCACAGAGCTCGTGCAATTTTTTGAGAGGTGCACATCAGTGTCGGCTTCAGCCATGGCGAGGGCTATGTGACCACATGCAGGGTGCGGGTTGTTGCTAGATCAAATATGCTTGCGGCCAGAAGTTAATGAATATGATTTATATTATTTCTTAGGACTCCCATTAATAGTATTGTATTAACGTCTACCCCCATCCCAAATCTAAACCTAACCGTCACAGTAACGTAAAAACATTAGTTGTAGCAAGTAGTATTTATGTCATCTTTTAAATTACCCGGCAGCACGGTGGTGCAGTGGTCAGCACAATCACATTACAGCAAGAAAGTCTCTGGTTTATGGCCAGGCCTGGTCAGTTGGCATTTCAGTGTGGAGTTTGCATGTTCTCCCTGTGTTGGCGTGGGCTTCCTCCGGGTGCTTCGGTTTCCAAAAAAGTCCAAAGACATGCGCTATAGGAGAATTTGGTAAGCTAAATTGTTCATAGTGTATGTGTGGGAAATTGTGTGTATGCATGTTTCCCAATGATAGGTTGCAGCTGGAAAGGCATCCGCTGCGTAGAACATATGCTGGATAAGTTGGCGGTTCATTCCGCTGTGGTGATCCTAGATTGATTTTTTACCATCTACCCCAACCCTAAACCCAACCGTCAAAGTACTGTAAAAATATAAATTATTGTTATACAGTTCAGCGTCAGAACATGCACATGTGCTTGATGCAGAAGTATAAATCAGAAGTATAAGTCATTTGAGCCATAATGTCCACATCTGCAGTGAAAATAAATAAATAAATAAAACAATTCCAGCGAACTTTAGCAAATATAATTTGCAAAAATGGTCAAACTGTTAACCTGTCAAGATTTTACAAATTAAATTGTGAAGTATATTTGTAAAATACAATTGTACTGTAAGCATACATCACAACAGTATTGCTTGAACAAAATATTTCCAAAAAAAGTATTGAAAAAATATACAGATTACAGTTATGTACAGATATACAGTATTGTGTATAAAACATGATAATCATATCTTTTAAGTATATAATATGTACGCACGTAATCACACATTATTAATCACTGAAAGAAAAGGATCTGGTAATTCTTTGTATTTGATCTTTCTATTGGGAGAGAATGCTCAGATGGCACTGCTCTAAACAGCAACAGTAACATATTATAAATATTAGCAATGAACATCATAGGTTTTAACTCTCACAGACATTTATTGATGACTTCCCAATTCACCCCCTAAGCTTTTACGGCTTCTTGATATTCCCTTTCCACTCTGATGAATTGGAAATTTGGAGAATAATGATTCAGAGACGAGCATGCTGGGCAATCTCAGTGTTTTGAAAAGTATTACTGGTATGAGTCTTCATGATGTGCCATTGTTCTCTCCATAAATTTCCCATATTCTATTATTGCTCTGTCTGACAGGTTGACAGTCTCACAGGGGAGATTTTGCTGACTGCTGGTTTTTGAGATTTAAGGAAATTGAAAGAATGTTCTGTTTACTTGGTCATTCGTCATATTTTGGTATTTTGCAATGGTCGGTGACATCGATTAATAAAAACTCAGAAGACACAGTAACATACCTGGTCTGTCGCAGCGGGATTGGAAGGGAAATACACAGGAAAGGGTCAAAAGTGTTGCTCTGTTTAAGGCAATGCGGGCATGTCAAGGATGACCTGAAACACAAAAATGACCACATTTCATTATATTCTTTTGAAAGCACACACAGACACACCATACAATAAAATTCATCAACATTTCAAAAGCTGTTATTTAAAAATGGCTGTGATTTTGGTCATACATCTTTAGTAGGTTTTTAAATGCTCATATGCTCTAATTCTCATTCACAACTTGACTTTTGTCATTCTGTGGAACATTAGGTCAATTCAGCTGGTCCAAACTACATCCTTAAGTTTGCCAAACATATCTTAAGTATGCAAGAACTGTATTTGCAAGATTGTTTTCCACATGTTTATGCAGCTACAAAGAACTGTGTAATACATTACAAACTGAAGATATTATATTTAATTCAAATATATTGAGCTTCCACTACCTAAATATATTTTTATTTATTAAAATTTTATTATTTTTTATCCACAAAGGCTCATGTTTGGTGATCCATTAAGTTTGAATCCCAACAAGATTTGTGACCAATAGAAAAATCAATGCCACCGTCTGGGGGAGAGCGGGGCACAAAGTAACACTGTTTGGTTTTGGCCAAATAAAGAACAAAGTAATGGGGTTTAATAAACCATATTTTTTTTTACCAACAACACACAAGCCTCTCCTACAAATGAGCACTGAAAGTATGACTGCCAGGCCTATGGTTTCGGTGCAGTATTCTCAAAAATGCCAGGAGTAAAAATGTTACTATATAACCCACCTGCGGGGCAAGTTGTAACAGACAGGGTTACCTGTAACACATGCTTAAAAAGGCAGATTCCATTCAATTAATTTAAATTCAGTTCACTTTAAATTGTTTATTTCCTCAGTACTCAATTTGATCATTCTACATAGCACAGTATGTTTATTTATTTTCTGGATAAACACATTTGGATTTAAAACGTTCCCAACATTACACTCAAAATTCAAAAATTATTTTGTTCATTTGCGTTCAATTGCTTTCTCGGTTGGTTTGTGTTCACACTGACTTTTTTCCTTCTGAACCCCGATACGCTTACGTCATCGAGCTGCTGTTGTGGGTACAGCAGTTGCTAGGTGACGGACACAAAAGCAAAGTGCTAAAATGGAAAGACGTATGCACATCGTGGTCGTTCTGCTTTTACTGAATCTTTTGGTTTTGGACATACAGAAAGAGACTCGCGTCTATCTGCCGCAAAAAAAATAAAAAATTCTAAACGTTCAAAACATATGTCTGCAGAAGTCATTTTTGCAAGCAGACATTATAACTATGATTGCCCTGGCTAGTTTTCATGAGCCATATGGAAATGATTTCATATTGTATAGTTGGTGGTTCACTTCCTTTATTTGACACGATAGCACTCATACTAAAAGTGAACCGGACCAGAGTTTGCGTGAACCGTACCCCAGACCATCTCTTTTAAGCGAACTCGCTACAGTTTAGGGATGTGCACCAGAGATCAAAAGACATGCTTACACAAGCTAAACGTACCGTACTCTGACGTCAAACGATCATGGGTGCGGACCAAAAATGCTAGTGTAAAAGCACCCTAACACGTTGCATTTTACCCTGCGTTATTTTGTGCCTCACACTCCCCATGTTCTAAATTATAGGAACAAACATTAAATCTTAAGACGTGAACTGCAGGAAACTGATCTTCATTTTACAAGACACGGCAGATTGTGACATTATGTTGTAACCACTGCAGTGTCTCAAGTAAATTGCTCAAAGGCTAGAGTGAATTTTGCTAAACATGTGAAATAATTGCTTACTTGTCTTGCATAATCTTCCCGAAATGCAAAACAACATAAATAAACAGTTTCCTCTTGAAGAGAAAGATTGTTTTTTGGAAGCACAGTTTGACATCATGCCCACACATTGGGGACTGTGTGAGTGTGTCCTTCTCAGAGCCCGATATAGAGCTTCCCTTCATGATTCAACAGCTGAACACTGGAAATGCATTTGTGTTCTGCAGGTGCAACGTGTTCACCTGCAGAGAAAACGACAGCCTACAAAACCAGCAGAGATGAGCATGCATTGACATATTCACCGAGACAGGAAGCTCCTGGAATGCACTGATTTCAATATCCCAGCAGGAACACACACAAAAAAAGTAGACTGAGAACGATGAAAAATGAACGCGGAAGCAGAGGGGATGATGGGAATGAGAAATAAAGATGGAAGAGACATCTGTAAGTGCGGTTAATGAAAAAGAAAGCGAGGGAACAGCAGATGCAGAATGTGGCTGAGATTGCATCATGTTGGGGTTCCAATTGTCAGGCATGAACTCGACACAGCTGTCTTATGAAGCGGCGGAGACCCCTTAAAATAGAAGCACTACACCTACCACAGCCATATTTTGCACCATACACAAACAGATAATGTGTAAAAGAGTTTACTAGAGTGTAAGGGGAATTAGTGTGTTGACTGTAAATAAATAATGAACTGTGAGAATAACTGCATATGAGCATCAAATCAGCACTGATAATATTGCTCATTAACTGTGACGACTGAGTCAGTTTAACACTGATTCAGTTCAGAGCTAATGTCAGGAGAGTTACCTCATCTAAAAAATGACTGAATCTGTTGTTTGTGCAAACAGCTTATTATGATCTATAGTTACATTTAAAGTTTAGTGCCCTCTAGTGGATACACAGTTGAAATTATGGCTGCCATAAGCGTATGCAATCATAGACTGTATAAGATATAGATGTAGTATCTGTGACATCACCCATAGGTTTCTGAAGCTGGCAAATGAAGCTACAAGTAGGCGTGGCCAACCGGCGCCATTTTGGCACCTACCAAGGGATAAGTTCCTGGAGCCAGCCCCCAAAGGCGAATCGATGAATTGCAGTTTCAGCTACTTCCGTATTGGCTTCATGAGGGAGAGTGAGAGGTTGCCGCTTGTACACAATGTAGTGTGTAGATTTATAGACAGTCCCGTACCCAAGTTTGACAAGTTTTTGAAAACGATTCACAGTTCATTAAAGATTTTTTTTTATCAATACACATGTTCTCAGGGACTGAACCCATGATTCAAACACCAAGTGAGTTTAGCCAGTGGAGTAAAGTAATGAATTACATAAAATAATAAAATTCATATTATAAAATTCAGTAGTATTTAGAACAGACACTTTTATCTACTTGCATTACATTTCTTGGCAATTAATTGTTTTACTGGAGAATGATTTTCAAGTATTCTTTACACCACCAATTTTAACATTTAGACACATTTTCACTACTTAAGTAAAATTATTATAGGATCATATTTTAGAATAGAGACAAATTAAAGGAACATGTTATGTTAAAGTAGAGACAACAAGATTCAGCTGTAATAAAAAGATTATTCTGTATCATACACAAGTTAATGTTGGATTTGTTTCAGCTAACACTGCACTGCACTAATTTTCTTTTTTGCTATTCGCATCTATGTAATAATAATAAAGATAATAGTAACAATAATAATTATAATAATAATCACAACAAAAACAACAACAACAATTATAGTTCATTCCATTTATACAGTACTTTACGGTACTTTAATGGTACAGTACCATTACAGATTTGCAAGGGAGTGGGAATCTCCTCAATCACCACCAGTGTGCAGCATCACACTTCTTTGACACAATGTCTCAAGTATACATAGATGTAGCACTATGGATGTGTATTGACTGGTTTTACTGATTATAAATGACATGATGAAAATCATAGTTGGTAATAGAATGCAAGCCCTGTTAGGTAATGTATTATGTAAGTGGGGGTTAATAGAAACAATAAATCTAATAAATCAGTGTTTTACATTTTCTATAAATTGCAAATATTAATGTTTTGGAATGTAATTTTAAAATCTAGATATGATGTAATCAGCTGCTAAAGGCATAATTAAAAACACTGATTTGTAATACAATTAAAGTCAAAATTATTAGCCCCCCTGAATTATTATTATTTTTTTAAATATAAAATAATTATTTATTTTTTCCATAATTTCTGTTTGATGAAGAGAATATTCTTTCAACACATTTCTAAACATAATAGTTTTAATAACTCATTTCTAATAATTGATTTATTTTATCTTTGCCATAATGACAGTAAACAACATTTGACTAGATATTTTTCAAGACACTTCTATACAGCTTAAAGTGACATTTAAAGGCTTTACTAGGTTAATTAGGTTTACTAGGCAGGTTATGGTAATTAGGCGAGTTATTGTATAATGATGGTTTGTTCTGTAGAATATCAAGGAAAAAAAAAAAGAAAAAAAAAATACATATATATATATATATATATAGCTTGAAGGGGCTATTAATTTTGACCTTAAAAAGGGGTTTGAAAAAATAAACATAAAAACTAGCCAAAACTTTTATTCTAGCCAAAATAAAACAAATAAGACTTACTCCAGAAGAAAAAAAAAAATATCAGACATACTGTGTCCTTGCTCTGTTAAACATCATTTGGGAAATATTTAAAAAGAAAAAAGTAATTCAAAGGGTAGCTAATAATTTTTCAACTGTATACCCCAACATATTTATTTCTATAAATAAATATATCTGGGTTTTAAACATGGGTTTAAATAACTCAAATAATACTTATTTGACCAAGGTTAATAGTTAACATTTTCTGAAGGTTAGAAACTTTATTGTTAAGAAAGACAGCGGTCCTAACTTTGAGCCCTGCAGGTTCACACCATAAGTCAAACCATAAGGTCTCTTTCCCAATGTCATTTTAAATCAGAGTGCCACTTGAAAGCATGTCCACTGAGAAAAATGACTTTGTCAGATGGGCATGTCAGAAGAGCATGACTGGTTTGTTGGTTTAAGGTGAAGTCAAACTACTGTATTTCCCAAAGCATTGTTATGAAATATCAAGTCAATGAATGTTGTTGTTTTTTTTTTTCATGAGATACAATTACAATAAAAGTGTACAAAAAAAAGTCAAACCTCTTTGCTCTATGGCAGAGCTTTGATCTAAATGCATGTTTGATCTACATAGTGCAATCCCTTCTTGTTAAAGATTCTTTTTGGCATATTGTTTTAC